TCATGAGGGCAGGTCTAGCGGTTTCGGAGATCTAACAAAAAAAGTGAAAAAAAATGCCATTTGGCGGTCAAAAATGATCATTAGACATATGCACATCAAATTATCAGATATTTTATAGAGATTTTAACAATAAGTATAAATTTTGTTTGCATTCCTATGGGTTCCGTACCAATGTTTATTCGTTAGACGGCGACGCGGCGTTACGCGCTTTTACTTTTTGTCTCTATGCAGTTAAAGCAGTATGCCGCTTTGAAAAAAAGTTCAGATCTTCCAAAATATGCCAAAATAAAGAAAACAATATTTTTTTCAAAAAAAAAATTTAAAAAAAATTTAAATTTTTTTAAAAAAAAAATTTTTTTTCAAAAAAAAGTAATTTTTTGTCCAATTTATAGTTTCTCGAAATCTTATTTTTTCGAAGTAAATTTTTTTTAAAAATGTCAATCGTTTTTAAAAAAATAATAATTTTTGGTACGGGAAGTTCCAGCAATTTGCCTTAAGGCACGATGCCTTAATTGCCTTAAGACAGAATTCCACTTACAGCTAGTTGAATTATTAAAATTGGACGCTCCGTTCTCTTAAAAACTGAGTTACCGTTTTCGGCACTTTTCGCCCCGTATCTTCGGAACGGCTAGACCTGATTTCGCCAAAAACTAATCAGCACGTCTCCTTATCAATACAAATCGAATGTTTTTGAATTATTCAAATCGGTTGATCGGTGTTCCCGAAATCGTCGACGAAAATTTGTATCCGCACATACATACACACACGTACATACATACATACATACATACACACACACACACACACACACATACATCCATTTTTTCTAAGGTATGCCAAAATATTCAGAAACCTTTAAAACGTCGAGAAATGCAAAAATTTTCATTTTAGATTTTTTTGCGATTACTATAACTTGCCCTACGGGAAGTTAATAAAACATTTGAAATATTTTTTTTTTCGAAAGCAATTATTTTGTCAAAACAAGCAGAAAGTTTTTTGAATCATTCAAATGAGGTGTTTAATTCTCTCAAAAACCCATTTTTTCTTAGGTATGCCAAAATGTTCAGAAACCTTCAAAACGTCGAGAAAGCAAAAAAAATCATTTTCTACCCAAAGTTAAATCAGAATAATAATAAAAATAGCTTCTACTTAAACTTCTTTTGCCCAACTGCATGTCAACGAATTGGAAATAATTTTTGCACAACAAACTATATTATTTCTAAAGTACTCACTTTATAAAGGGGTCCTTCTTTTTGTCCAAGTTGCTTTAGCCAAGTGCAAGATAGGATAATTGAAATGGCTTTCCACATTTCAGATTAGACAAATCGTCCATAGATTTAGCAGTTGCATATATTATATAAAGATATGTTGGTTTTTCATACAAAAATGGCGGTAAATACGGAGTTCGTGAGATTGCACCCAGTTCCCCTTTAGTATCCTGCACGTCTTCATTCATTACTTGTTTTTCTTGTCCTCTATGGTGGTTCAGCTCACACGCAATGTGGTCCAATTCCCACATATAAAAATTAAGACACCACAATTATATGTAAAAATAATGTTTATTACAAATAATATGTACAAAGTCTTCTTCGCTTGGATTTACTTTGCCCAGATGTTGACTGCTCCACCCGTAGAAGAGAAATAAGATGGAGAAAGGTAGCTGCTTTCTTTATATACCTGTTAGCCTGACCCCCTCCACACAATAGGTTCCTTAATAGTGCGGAGGCTAGTGTTGCTCTTTACTTCTATTTCCCAATAGTAGTAGCGCTGCCATCTCATATTATACTTGTTTATCTATGAGCGCTGCATACTTTTTAAGGTAGGTTGGAGTCATAGATAAAAGAAGTGTATGGTTGGAGTGCCGGTCTCAATCTCAAAACAATCAAGACCTGCTTTATAGTATATCATCAAGACCTAATTTATAGTGGTTATAAAATGGTTTATAACCATTTTATAACTCTGCATTTGGTGTGCAACGTACATAATATGCGTGCCAAAAATTGCTTTCGACTTTTATCTATGCGGAAAATCATGATTAATTAATAAAAATAAGAAAATAAAGTTACTAACTAAAATTATTACCATTTGGCAATAATTTTGATTTTTTTTCTCATCTTCCAGCTAACTATATCTAGTATATACATTTTTTTAGGAGATGACTATTTTACAATTATTAAATTTTGTATCTTTAGTATTCCGAAATACTGTAACTGTCTCCAGAAGCACAAAGAATATTGCCAAAAATAATATTATTTCAAAAGCTAGGCAATTGGGTCTTTACATGCTCCCTTTATTTTTATAGTTACATATAAATATTGTATATGACATATAAATTTTCATCTCGCGGACCCCGAATTTGAAAAAACTAGCATTCGAAATGTAAATTTCCCAGAATTTACGAATTTTATATAAAAAATCAATTTTTGGTCGAATATTCTGTACTAACGAAAAAAAATATCGGCAAATTTAGTGCGATTTAAAGCAATTTTTGACTGAATTTATTTCATGTTCAGTTTTATTAGTAAACAAATTTATTTTAATTTTAATTAGTAGAACAAAGAAATAATAGTTTATTTGGACAACTTTGAAAATGATTATTCGTTATTCATGCATCATTTCCACATATGAGAATATAAATATTTTTATGATAGTGAAAGAAGAGTTTTTTTAAATAAAAAAACTTTTAACTTTAAATCAAATAAAAAAAAATAGATACATACTTGTTAATGTCAATTTTAGTTCTGAAATAAATTAAACGAAACACCGAGTTTATTCTATTCCGAACAATTTTAATTAATTGATTTCAAATATTTAATTATCTTTTAGTTTAATAAAATATTATTGTTAAAACCTGAGGGGGCCAGCGGTGGCGATATCGGTTAGTTGGGCTAGCACCAACTAGACCCAGGCTCGCTGGTTCGATTCCCGCTACCGCCAAGCCTGACATCAGGCAACTTTGATGTCAATAAAAATACCTACACATAGGAGAAAGATAACCGATGGGTTGCTTCTCATCTTCTCACCGTAGATCATAAGTCATATACACAAACAGCTCATAGAACAATAATAAAAAAAGAGTTCTGATTGCTGTATATATAAAAAAAAAAACTGAGGACGTCTATCGATTTGTTATTTAGAAGTGTCCTTTGTTTACTCACAAAATTTTCCGAAATAGAAAATACTCTCTCACTTACAACTGAACTAGGCTTAATCGTTAAAGCGTGATATAATAATTCTGGAAATTTTGCTCTTTTATTTGTGGCTTCTAGCGCTAAAAACTCTTTTTTAAATTTGAGTAAAGCAATTCACTCCTTCAACAAGAAGTCGCATTGATCTAAATTAATATATACATTGATATAATAATCAAAATTAATATATACATTAGACAAAAGAATCGATATGATTACAAGTATCAAAACGCTTGCTTCCTTGCTTATCTAGTATATTTGTCATTTTCCATTTATACAGTAAAAACCGAATTTTCCGCTGAAAAACGGTTTTCGAATTTCATAATTTTCGTCAAAAAGCCGGTTTTTGAAAACCGACAAACCCTACCTGGAACCTGTTGGGAAATATATTTTTAAACATTAAACACAAAATCCTACGACGCATTTCGGACTGTATTATCCATAATTTTCAAGTCCGGTAGCAATGCTTGGCAACGCTAATAAACTAATAAAAAAGATGAAAACAATGAACTTAAAATTTGTTTCTATCTCATGCCAACATATTTGAGAAATAACTATATGCAAAAAAGTATAACGTGAATATATAGAATATTTAGATACGTATTAAGTTTAAGTCCGTTTTTTTTTTGTACAAATAAATAAATATTTATGGTAGAAATAAATTTTAGAATCACATACGAAATGCAATGGTGTCTGTAAAGTGATAATTGAAAAAAAAGTCAAAGTATTTTAATTTTATTTAACCCAATAAGGGAACAAAAAAATATGATTTTTATTTATTTAAACCCAAAACATTCTTGAAACAAACTGTTATAGTTGTGACTAAATCTTTTTTATTCAAACACCATTTATTTTGTACATTAATTTTCTATAAGTTTATTTAACCAGTTTTCATTAACATGGACTTTCCAATAAATATGTATACAATTGAAATACTTTAGATTTATAATAAACTTTGACCACTTAATATTTTTTATTTCTGTACATGAATTAAAATATCTTTTTATGTGTTGTTAATCTTGTCACACAAAGATATTTACAAGAAGGTAATTAAATTTTCATCCATTGATACTTAATTTTTTTTTTATATAATTCGTCTAATTCTCTTGGAGCATCTAGATCACGATAATGAATGACGGGTCGAAAATCTGACATGCCTCCGCTGAAAAGAATAAAATAAATATATATTTTTCTCTTCAAAAAGCAATAGGCAAATGACATTCTTTACAAAAAAAAATAGTAATACTACTTCTATATCAAAAAAAATTACTGAAAGTATATAAAACATTTCATATCTACATTTTTTAATTGAACATTGTAAAGAAAACTAACTGAATTGTTTTCTTTATGTTTCATACATTTTAACTTTCATTCAGGATCTATAATATAATATTTCAATAAAATTCAATTAAAAAAGATAAATATACATGTGCGTTCTTGTAATATTTATTACTAGTAAGATTTGTATTTTACAAAATAACAAAACAAAAATAAAAAGAATAGTTTATTGTGCAATTTATAAAAAAACAAAATAAAAATAAACCAATATAATATTTAGAAGAATAAAGACTTTCATGCAAATTATCTACATACTGCTGATTCACTTCTATGATATATACAAATAGTACATCATAACTTATTCCATTTAATTCAAAGTCAGTAAACTAATGTTTTTCCAAAATTATGCTATTCATGATCTTTATAATCTAACAAATACATATAGTTATTTACACACTACAAAATAATGTTTAAAAGCATTTAAGTTATTCAGACTTGAAAGAAAATTGCCATTCGCTCTCATGGAAAATCACATTTAATACAGAATTGTTTGCTAAAAGTTCTAAATTTATTTATATATAATATTTTAAATGAGCTTTGTAAGTTCAGAGTTTTGCCGGCTACACTGATTTTTCTGTCATTAAAAAAATTTATATTACAGAAATTTTAGAAATAGTCATAACCATCTGGACAATCTAAATCGTTGTATGCAACAATTGCTCTTCTTGAATCAGTATTTGGTGGTTCCCTGTAAATAGTGATAATCTAAAAGTTGGCTCTTTAACTTAAAGATCTGTAAGAATAGAATCTCCAAAGCATAATAACCAAAATGAGTATCATACAATAGAGAAAAACAAAGAATCTCTTAGCTTAGATAAAATGTATACCTAGTACCCTTAATTTTAATTTTTTTATGTTTTGAATCAATTAGAAATACTAGAAAGATGTACAAGTACATGATGGGCAATCTACTTATATACCAGAACTGAAATGAGTTTACATTAAAGAGATGCAATGAGAATAAATGAATGATTTCATGAGGATAAACAAAACATTCCACAAAATTAGTGACTCAAGCTTTCAATTTTCTCCAAGTGCAGTTTGTTTCAACAGAAATGTCATATTTATACATTTATACTACTTGTCGTGAGTAGCAGAATAGTCAATGATTCTAATCAGACTGATTGGAAATGAGGTACCCTGCTCATCTGACAAAATGCTCGTATCTCGAAGGAATTTTTCTCATATACATACAATGAAATGCCATTATTACGTTCTAGCACTGAGGAAAATCAGAAAATCCAGTAAAATCATTATTATATCTGATGAAATTATACTGATTTTAATTCTTCTACAAAACTTATTCCCTTAAAGCTCGTGTCTCGAAACACTTGTATGTCAAGTCGTTTGTAAGTCAAGGTAGCACAGCATAACTGATAATAAGTGAAGCTAACAAACATAACATTTCTACTATAAAAATAATGGCATGCTTGAAAACTATATACGATCCCGTCTGCCTATATACATATATATATATATACATATATATATATATACATATATATATATATATATATATATATATACAGGGCCGGTCCTGCCTTGCATGCGATGCATGCAAAAAATGCGGGCGCAAGCCTTAGGGGGCGCCAAAACGAGTCGGAAATTAAATTTATAATACAATATTTATATTTTTTTATATAAAATCTAGAATTATTTATTTTAAATCTAGAATACTCAATAAATTATAATAAATAATTTAACTTAACTAGGGATACGGAGACACATTTATTTTGCAATGTGATATCAGTAGAAACAATTAACCGATTAATAATTCTGCAAATTAGTAAATAACAGCTCTATTTATTGCTTAATCTACTTATTCTTCTTTCTTTCTTTTATTTTTTCTTTGTTTGAAGTTACCGTGGAATCGAAAAAGAAATTATCTAGTGTTCAATCCCATAAGCGCAAAGCTGCGAAAGATTAAATTAATTGTTGGACATTATTGACAAAAAATTAGTTGAATCGGAACTTGTTAAAAAATGTAAATAAAAAATGGGAGGTCAGTGCTTAGAAAATGACTTGTTTATTCCGAGAAATTGAATTGTAGCTTTTGCTTTTGTTGCAAATGTTTCGCATCTGTTGAACTTTGAATGTTGAAGACATGCGTGGAACAAATATGAAAAATTTACTTTGGAACGAAAATCTTAAGGCTTGTTTTATACCTAGTGGTGTCCATACTCTAAATTTAATAATTATTAACTATACAGAAATAATACATATCAAATATAATTTTTTTTTTTTCGGTATTGTTCAAGAAATGTGTAATTTCTTTGCATTTTTCACTGATTTTTTAACAGTACTTCTAAAATACATTACAAATTGAACTTAAAAACGACAAGCTGATACTCTGGATATGACGGCTCTTACGATATCAATAAGGAGAAGTTTACGATGCAATTTTGGATATTGTAAATGACGAAAAATTAAATCAAATTAAAATTTAAAAAATCCAACATGAAATACGTGTGTTATGTTTGAAAATTAAATGCTAGTTTTTTTAAATATTAATATTGCACATACGTTAAGAATAATTGAAAATTTCAAAATACTTGATTATAATGAACCCCCGAATCGCCTCGATTTTGTGAATAAATTTAAAATCAATATATTTTATACGCTTTTAGATTATATCTAATTTTTTATGCACTAAATCCAGAATAATTAAAAATTAATTTATTTATTTCACTTAATACTTTTGTTAAATTAAAGTTATAGAATTTAAGAAATGCATTTCAGAAATAGTATTTATTATTTTGATATCAAGATCTTTATATCAAAATGATAAATACTATTTCTGAAATTCATTTCTTAAATTCTATAACTTTAATTTAACAAAAACATTAATTCTTTTGCTATGGTAGTCGAACTTATATCCTTAACCAATTTACAACATATTGAATATTACTAAAATGTGAAATTACGACAGGAAATGTTTTATTTATTGATATCGATAATAATAAATAAATTTAAAATCAATAGATTTTATACCCTTCTAGATTATATCTAATTTTTTGTGTACTAAATCCAGAATAATTAAAAATTAATTTTTAAAAAATATGTAAATATTTATATAATTTTAATGATAAACTGTTAAAACGGTGAAAATTAATAAGGGGGGGGGGGGCGCTAGAAAAAAAGTTGCATGCGGGCGCTAGGGACCCCAGGACCGGCTCTGTATATATATATATATATATATATAGGCAGATTAGAATCAATATATATATATATATATATATATATATATATATATAAAGCATTAAGACCTGAATACATACACACAATTTGTGAATGATTTTAATGATGTACTCACCGTCCTCTATTAAAACCACCGCGTATTGGCCTACCGCCTCCATGGTTCCATACACCATATCCAGAATGTGGAGGTGGTCCGCCACCATAGCCACCTCCACGACCACCATACATTGCGCCCCCTACACCTCCTCCGTAACTACCATAACTGTAATAAAAAATAATGATAGCTGAATAAAAAAAAAAAATTAATTAAAAATTATAAAATAGTAGAAACAATTCTATAAAAAATTTGTAAATTGCTTTGAATTGTTGAATACTGCAGCATATAATTTGTCATATTTTAGTTATCTATAAATACAAAATAGTATTACTTACGGGTGGTGAACCATATTCTCCATTCTTCGCTGTTGAGCATTTCCAGCATGCTCGGGCAGCTGCGGTCTCTTAGGATCTTTTAAGTAATTATTAAAATATTCAACTTCTTTCCTGACTTCTTCTACCTTTTCTGCATGTTTATTAAAAATATGTTTTCTTATGAAATCAGGACCTTTAAACTTTTTCCCTGACAATGGACATAACCATTTGTCCTTTGACAATTCTTGGGTGTTTGCTTGAACAAATTTTTCAACTTCTCCATCTGAATCTTTAGATCCTAGTTTTGCAAGTTCTTCAGCATCTAAAGTTTGGTGTGGTTGCAAGAAAGTGGACATCTTATTTTCAAATAATCTAATATAATCTAACAAATCATTTTGCGACACTTTATTAGCTGGAGCTGGACCTCGAGCATGAATGATTCCACATCTGAAAAAATATATAGTGCAAGATAAATTTCCTGAAGCAGTTTACATATTAAACAAATCAAAAACAAGTTAAATTTTGTAGAAACTTTTTTTTATAATACAGTTTAAAAAAGTTTTTAAATTTATTGGCTCTTTTATTCAATTTAAATCATACAGATAAAGGTGAAAAGATTTGAATAAAGAAAGTGAGAAAAAGTCAAATATGTTTGTAACCTTGGCATTTCTTATCAATGCTTGAATTAAACTACAGTTGTAATTAAAATAAATTTCTTATTTGTTATCCTATTTTTGATAAAAGCAAAAACCTAATGTTAAATAAAATTATATATACCTATTTGGCATTTCATCTTCATAAGGGTATTCGCAATGATTATAAAAATCTACAGAATGCACCACTCGTAAATATAAAATTAATTTATCGAGCACTCTTGTCAATTGTGGATCTCTGTCAATTGTGTCTACCACTGTTTCAGTTGGAGTTTCAGCATTTTCAGAAGTGTTAGTCTGGTTTTCACCTAATAAATAAATTAATTACATTAATAGGATTATTTGATTATTAGCTGGTTATTTTGGGTTCACCATTCACCAGTAAAAAAAAAGAAACATGACTAATAATACATTGCTATTTATTCTATTTAATTGAAATTTAATAAATTTTTATTGAATTGAAATGTTATATTTATTAATATATTTCACAATATACACAACCACAATATTTTTCTTTTATTAATTTCGAAACAAAAACTCAGCTTCTACATATCATTTAATAAAATAATATTAGAGAAATTAAAATAGAAACAAATAAAATACATCTTGTTTAGATATTTGATCAAAAAAGAACCGTTTTTTTCATTTATGCAATTATCTTGTACATATTATATGCTTTAAAGGAATTGTTAATCAATTTTATATATTACAATAAATTGTATTACCTTTTTCAGAAGAACCTTCAGTTGTATTAGCATTGGCACTATCGGTCTCTGATGTATTTGTTAAACCTAATAATTCATCCTCCTCTGCTGATGCTTCCTCTATCAAGTAGTCAGTAATATTTTGCAATACTGGATTTTTTGATACCAGGCCAAATGACTGAAATTAGTATGTTTAGAAATTATTTAACATTAATAAATAAGAGCGTTACATGGCTAATATAACAGTCAATAAAAATTAATACACTTACATTATCTTCTGGTGTCTCTTTAGGATCATTTTCATCTTTCCATAAGCCAGCTTTATTGTCCAGATTATGAGCAATTCTTGCACAAAGTTTTATATCAGACCTGACAACTTGTTTGTGTGCAGTGAGACCACTGACCGCTCTAACTCTCCGAGATAAGTCACGATTCACAATTGCACCGAGTTCACATTCACGCAACTATCACATTAAAAAATAATCAAGTAAAAATTTTTGTTATTCATTAAATAATAATTTAAATTTGTAAAAAAAACTAAACATAGTAACTGGATACATATAAATTAATAATTAAATTTTTAGAAACTTAAAATTTGAATATGAAATCTACCCATATATAGATATTTTTGCTTAAAAAATAGATACATTTTTGAATACAAACATTGATATCAGCAAAGTTAAGGTAAATAATTATTATAATTAGCTACTACAACTATTTGCTAATTACTCAAGACTTAGCTGAAGTTATTAAAATTTAAAAAATATGTGTTTACTTACCCTGATATTGTTGAGATTCCAACAAATATCCTTAATATTTACTTCTCTTCGGAATGTTAACCAACCCCTTCTATACCATCTTCGCTCTTGCAATGGATCAGCAATAGCAACGCGTAAATACCCTTGATAACGCTTACACATCTGTAATAAATAAGAATTTCAACAATATTTAAACAAAACTTTATATTGTTTTATTTAACTTACAGCCTCAACTTCTTGTTTTGTGATAGTCGGTGACAAATTCCTGAGAAAAATTGATGTGGTTTTGTGTAAAGCAGCTCTTGGAGGAGGCTCCTTTTTCTCAGTTTCATCTGATTTGCTTTCTTCTATCTCCATTGTTTCAACTTCTTTCTCAACTTTAGTTTCATCATTTTTTTCATTTGAATCATCTTTTGAGGATTTATTTTCATCATTCTGATCATCTTCTTTATCAGACTTATTCTGCAATCAGTTAGGAATTGTACTGTTCTGTTTTTATATTTAGTTGGAAATGTAAAATGAATTTTAATAAATGTTAAACATTTTTTATCATAATAATTTAGTGTTACGTGAGATACAAAAAGTATGCTATGCTGTAGACCATACTGTAATAATAAAATTGTGTACTTTCCACACTTTTACTCACCTGAGACTTAGTGCTTTCGTCATTGTCATTGTCATTTTTATGAGCATCATCTGAATCGGAATCACTGCTGGACTCACTAGCCGAACTATCACCATTTTCCCCATCAGTACCAGATGAAAAATTTCGCTTGCGTTTTTTATTTCCTTTTGATTTATTTTCTTGTTTTGTGTGTTCCTTCAATTTTATAAATCACATTAAAATTGTATGTTGTTGCTAAAGTGCATGCGCAAGCTTATATATGCTAATACAAGCTCAATTGGGGGATAGAATTGTTAAATTTTATAACATAAAATATTTAATAAAAGTTTGAAAATTTACATGCTTTATGTATGCTTTTCAATGCAGAGAAAATAAATAAGATTTTTTTTAAAATAGTATGAAAATATATACCTTTTCACTCTGCTGATCAGAATCTTTTTTGGATCCATCGAGCTCTTCACCCTCATCTTTTTGGCCCGCGTCAGGTGACTTTGTTTCATCTGATGTTTTAGAAAAATCATTGAGTTTTAGTTCTTCAGATCCTATGTATATAATTTTTATTGTTATTAATTTTTTTTTTATAATAGTGAATTTCAAAACTTACCTTCATTTTCATCGCTTCCAACTTTTTCTTCTTTTACATTTTTATCTACACTTTCAGTGGGGTTTTTAGTATCAGCCTCAGGTTTATCTAAAGTAGTAATATTGAAAAAAGTATTAATTCATTGTTACGTTTGCAATGCAAAATTCATGTGTGAATTAATTTTTGATACTATATATACAACTACTATATGCTATAATATAGTCATTTATAAATATTAAATAAAACACTTGTTATAAAAAAAAAAAAAAAATTGAATGTGAACCTAACAAACCTGTAGCAGCATTTGGAGCTGAAGAAGTATCCTCGTCCAACACCTTTAAATCTTCGTCGGTGCCACCCTCAAGTTTGATAACAACAGTGTCAAGTAATCTAATTATCTTATCGGATTGATCAGAATCCACACTTACAGATTCAATCACCCCTCCTTCCAGGAGTTCTAAAAACACATTAAGACGATTCTGAAAAAAAAATTTTTTAGATGTAACTTCAAGAAGTCAGTCATTTTTCTAAAAACAATAAAAAAAACACATAAGTTTTTTTTAAATATAAAATAAAGTGAAATATCTCATATAAGTAAGTACATACTTGAAAATACCTTATGATAATAGGTTTAAAACTTATACTCAAAAACTACTCAAAGAGATATTCTTTGTTTCCAAATTTTATTTAATTTGATTTGAAGATAAGATTGAACTACACATACCTTTAAAGAAGCAAGTTGTTCTTCACGTCTCTTTAAAGATTCTTCAGGATGGTATTTGATTTTGAACCTGAAAGATTATAAATAATAAGTTTAAGGATGTTCAAATTAATTTGCAGAAGTTTGAAGCCTCTCTATAATCCATTTCACATGTGCCACTCTCTATAAATTATACTAAAATTTGTTTCCCAATACTATTATACATTGGGTGATATTTGTATGCTCATGTTGTCTGATATTGATAAAGGTATATTATCAGTTTCTGTATATGCAGAAAGTATAGTAAATTATAACAATAGACATATGCTCTAAAATTTGAAAGCAACAGCAATAACTTGTATGCTAGAATGTTTTATAAAAATTATTAAAACATGCTTTTTGTAATAATTTTATAGTTAAACAAAAATATATACATAAATTATCAACTATACAGTAATACCTCTCACCTGTTCTTGATATTTTTTTATTTCCTTAACACTAAACCCTATAAATCGAATCATAAATCGATTTTTATAAATAAATGAAAATTCGCGTTAACCACAAAGCATTGCGCGCTTTGGGCTGTAAATATTTCGCAAACGTTAAAGATAAATCATATGATTTTACAATACAACACCTATGCTAATAAACTTATTTCGATGTAAAACAGCCACTTTTTCTTAATGAAACGTAATTTCAACAAAATACAAGTGAAGAAATATTTATGAAAACGAGGCACAATTTTTGCAGCCACTCTCGATAATTTTGCATTGCTGTGAAAGAAATTTGTCATTATATAATCATAATATGTTATTTCGATGAAAGAATTATTATTAGTGCTAAATAAGGTAAGTGTAAATATTGTTTGATTAACTAATTGAAAAACTTGACCATCACCTAGAGAAAAATTGAAACAAAATAAATAATTATAGCTGTAACAAGTATGAAAACTAAAGTAATAAAATTTATGCTTTCACATTATGTTTCAAATTAAATTTCTGTGTAACACAAATTAAATTTCTGTGTAACACAGCAAAAAAAAATTCTGCACCTTGGAAGAATGTAAATGCAGAGCATGCTTAAAATATTTTTCACAAGATATTTGTACATACATAATTATTTTAGATATTTCATAAATTATTAATGTTTAAGACATTATTAAAGAAAATTAATATTAAAAACATTTCAATATTAACATTCATATTAGAAAAATTTTTTTATAACAAAAGAAACTTTTTATTATAACTTGATTAATAAAAGTTAAGTAAGTGTAGTGCATAAGAATTGTAATATATATGTAATATATATTTAGCATTTTGATTTTGAACTATATATAAAATCTGTATCATATGGAGCAATATCAAATCACTTATAAATTTCAATTTACTCACCATTCCTCATCTTTATGTGCCACAAAGAATTCGTTGAGCTGTTGCCTTCTAAATTCTAGTTTGTATTCTCCATATTTTTTTACTGCATCATCATCAGTAATAGCATCATCTTGGGCTGCCAAAAATGCTTTAAAAGACATCATGGCTGGCTGCGTGTCACCATTGTTAGCAGCCATATTACCTCCAACATTACCCATGTGAGAATCTAAGACTGCTCCTCTGTTGAAGTTAAAAATTAGAGAATTATCAACTATAAAATGGATCCACTATTCAGGTTGCCTACAATCTATGAATCTATTATTCGAATTCATAATTGATGCTTACCTATGTGGTACATATCCTCCATAATGATCATGATGAGGCCATCCATAGCTTCCATAGCCATCGTGCATACCTAAAAATTTAATATGTTTACGGTAAGTTTCAAAATGCTACTTATGTTTCTTATATGCAAAATCACATAAGGAAATTCATAACAAATATATTACACAGACAAGTCTAATATTTTCCTTATAATCTCTCCTATGTTAAAATGCATGCTATATTCAAATAAAATTGTTGTGCAAATGGTACCCTTATTTTTATGGTTGTTACCATATCTAGGTCTTGCATCATCCCAGTCTCCTCGCATCCTTTTTACTGGTGGACCATCACCACCTCCTCTTCCTGGCGGTGGTGAATAACCCCCTCTTCCCCCAGAGCCTGATCCAACAGCTGCACCTGCACGATAATCCCGATAATCCCTTCTGCTCCTAAATAAATAATAATGAAGATACTTCACATTATTGCAAAAGAAGGATATTGTATATAATATAAGAAGGATAAGTCACATAATTTAAATTTAACAATTACAAGTCTTAATTCTGGTAACCTCATTTTATCTTTAATAACATAATTTCAGTGACAGTATACAAATAAATCATACGATATACCTTTTTTATATTCTATTGAATTCGCTATAAAATAACATATTAATGATAATTTCAAACAGAATCAACTGAAAATGAAAATTATAAATTGTATATCATTACAGTAATAATGAAATTATTTCATTCAAAATTTTATTATACATACCAATATTGATAGAATACACTCCGCAAAGTAGGACTTATGAGAGGTCTGGAAGAGGATCTAAGGAATTAAGTTGGAAGGATGTGAATTAAAATGAAAGAAATTAGGATACTAAAGAAATAATGAAAGGATGAAGTAAATATAAGGATAAAGCTCTATTTCTAATTCAAATATCAGTTGTTACTCTAATTATGTAAGTGTAAGATATGTCTAATATATAATTATAGATATCTATCTAATTATTTCAAAACACTATGATTAAAATTCATTATTGAAATAAAATGTAGCTCATATTAATGCTTTATTTGTTATTTAAGGCGAAAAGGTAATGCCAACACATTATATGTGTAAAAGTTTGTAATACATTAAAAATTAATCTGGCACATCGTTCAAATACATTCGCAGTGTGTTTTGATTTTACTGATTGTGCTCCAAGCTTTATTAGAGCTAAAAATCTATTGATGCTCACCTGTCAGGCCAATCATCTCTGCCCCTGTTTCGGTCATCACGACTTCTTTCGCTGCCTCTATAGCCTCCTTCAGAGTTGCCCCCAGTTCCACCGCGTTCCCCTCTAAACTTATCACGACGTTTTCTATCATACTCGTCATCACTATCGCCCATTTTTACACTGATTTTGGAAGATATTTATTATTTAAACGTTTAGCTTCTATAAATATATAGAGAATATGGTTCATAAAGCGCTTATTTGCTGTTTCTAAATACCTGAGATGACGACGCTAAATGTTTAAATTTGGTATTTTTAATTTTCTATCTTGAAATATTCGAAACTGATTACAAAAATATTTCTCGTTAACCTAAAACAAAAGCTGACACTGCAAATGACGACGCTCGAACTCAAAGTCACAAACGCTGATGTAGGAGATTACAGAACGTGTAACACTTAAACATTATCTATGGATTTACCTAAGGCGTCGGGTAGAGTTTCTAAACACCGGATAACAAAGTGCTGAGAAAGCTGGCTGAAGTTAGCTGTAACACATTACAGATTTGTCAAATCTTTTGTAGAGTTTCTAAACACCGGATAACAAAGTGCTGAGAAAGCTGGCTGAAGTTAGCTGTAACACATTACAGATTTGTCAAATCTTTTGCACTGTGCTTTCAACTTTTTTATGTTGGATTCGCTGTTACGATTACTCCATACTCCATACTCTTCTTTTATCTATGACTCCATTACTATAATTTTTTTTTCGGCGTGCTAATTGTGTAACTCGGGCGTCTCGTATTTTATATTTTTTATTCGCGTTTTCTTTCATTACGTTTTTTTGCTACGTGTACTAATCATTTTGTGATTTTGTTGATTGTGCGCTATTTTATTTCTTTACATTTTATATTTGCTATTTTATTGCGGGATTCAAGAGCTTCTATAGGGAATAAGGTTAGTTTCTTTTCAGCAAGAGACGCGAGTTTTTTCATCTCATTAGCTTTTAGTTTCATTTTATTTTCAGCCCCTATCACTTTTATTGATTTACTTTATTCACTTAGATTCTTAACTTTAGTTTAATCACTTAGATTATTACATTAAGTTTACTTTAATCGCTTACATTCTTAACTTTACTTAAATCGCTTACATTCTTAACTATACTATTATCGTAGATTCTTAACTTTACATTAATCACTTACATTCTTTACTTTACTTTAATCACTTTAGGTTAGCACTTAGATTATTTACTTTAGGCTATCACTTAGGTTATTCACTTTACTTTATCATTTTAGGGTATATCACTTTAGTTATAAGCTTCCTTTTATTCATTTTTTACTGATTACCACTTAGGTTAGGTTATTCTTTTCATTTCATTCATTGTTTAGGGTATATAGCTTTGCATATTTACTATTTTAAGGTATAGCTTATTTACTATTTTAAGGTATAGCTTATTTACTATTTTAAGGTTTAACACTTACGTTTTATTACTCTATTATGTTTATATAATCTACATTTTTATTTTATTTCTTATGGATATTACGACTACTAAAACCTGTTTGTATTGTTCTACAGTATGTAAAACAAACAGTTCTTTATATCGCCATATTAGGGCCAAGCATGGGAAAGAACCCATGCATTTTGATCGAACATTTCAGTGCATTTATTGCAGTAAGGCTTTGCATTCGACATATGCTTTGAAAAGACATATTACATGCTTTGCATTCGACATATGCTTTGAAAAGACATATTACACACTTTCATCCTACCATTCCTCTTCAACCATCTGCTCCCAATTCTGTTCTAGCCACTGACACTCACTCATCAAATTCTTCCTCACATATTCAAACAGTTCATTCCGATCATATCACCTACAACACCTACTTCAATAATTTCCGCATCAACCCTAGAACATCAGTCGCCCTTCATTCCTATGCTGCCTCAATTTCACCTACACCATCAACTTCTACCACCATCATCAACTCCATTGCCACACAATCCACTTCTTGCACCAGTGTTCAACAGCAGATAAACTATATTTCAGGTATGTGTACCAAACATGTTATTAAACAATGATGCAGCAAACAGTAATAATGTTATGTTTTAATAGGTACTCAAAGGAAATCTAGGATCTTGTGCCCCCTTGACAATTGTCAAAGGTTATTATCCAGATACAATGGCTTACATCAACATATCGAAGTTGATCACACCATCCACATCCAGCATGAAGAAATCACATTTTCTTCTTTTAATGGTTTGTTCATTTTCGATTATAGACTTTGTCAATGCACTTTTCTATTATTTGGTATTTTTATATAGATTTTCAATCATCGAAAAATATCTGTGATAAGATAAGTAACAGAAAAAATAATATATACATTAATCATAAACAGAATTAATCCAAAAGCAATGGATTGAAAATATCATCGTATGTTTTAATTGTTATTGGTGAGTTGGATTTAACCTGTAATGTTATATAATTTATGTTGCTTTACTTTTTAATCAACTTGAGTGGTGTGTTTGTGTAATAACTCACTATTGTTGAAATGAGCATTTTGTGTATCTAATGATGCAACAAAGTTCTTCTCTCACAATTTATGGTATTTGGTTTCATTTGTTTATATTATCATTTCAATTCTATCTTTCAAATTTCTAATGTGAATAACATTTATTAACAGCTATATTGCGGAGATAAGTTTTAAATTATAATCATACATATTTCTTTTCATATTATGGTAATAGGTTTTGAATTGTCAATATGATTTATTTATTGTTACTTTACGGTAATAGTTTTTAAATTGTAAATATGATATTAATTGTTACATTACGGTGATACGTTTTGAATTGTCGATATATTTTTTATTTATTATTACATTATGGTAATAGGTTTTAAATTGTAAATATGATTTATTTATTATTACACTTTTTAGTGATAGGTTTTAAATTGTGAATATTTGATTTATTTATTATAACATTACTAATAATAAGTTTTGAATCATGAAGAATTGTGTTTGACTGGTATGTGGTTGTGTGTTATACTGGTATGTGGTACAATTTGTTTTCTAATTTTCCTTCACGCCATGCTTTACTCATTAATATTAACATTGTGTAAATAGATTTTAACTCGTAAGCTATTTCTTGTAAATAACTATATATTTAATTCACATTCAATAAAAAATATTACCACAATTATGCTTTATCTTTTTTTTAAAAAAATAGCTTTGTTTCTGTAGCAAAATTATGTGATCTAAAAGTTTTCAGTTATTCAATGTTGCATTCTACAGTTTAAACTACTGTTAAAAACTGGAACAGTCCTGGATTTGAATAATGCACTTATTCTGATAATAAAGATTGTGTTCTGAAATTCAGTCATTTGTAGTCAACAATATTTAAAGTTTTCAACAATTATATTGCACACTAGTATGGAACAGATGGTAAAAAGAAAGAAGAAATGGTAAAAAAATTTAATTTTGATATTCTATCATACAAGTAGTCTTGCTATAATAAATACGAAAGATTGTAAATGTAGCAGTATTTGGCTTACATAATTATACATTTTTGTGTTCAAGCAAATTTATGCACACAAAATAGTTCACGTTTACCAGTGTTCTTCAATTGAAATCTACCATACATAACAAAAATCCAATATTGCAACAAATATCTGACTGAATGAAAATTAATTACTAAACACCAAAATAAGAAATTGAGGTTAAGTTTCGACAGTTGCGACAAATGTTTTGACATATATGAATGCTCTGCAGTTGGTATGCCTGCTCAGAAGAATTTCTGATTTTTTGAATGTTGGTACCGTGATTTTTTCGTTTCAGCACTTTGTTAATCCGGTGTTTAGAGCCGTGTGGCGTCGGGCACGTGGTCAAAAAGTGAAACTCGCCCTAGAGTGAGTAAAATGAGTGTGGTTGAGGCGGTTGAGGGTCGTAATAGAATAAATCTTAAAAATTTCCTTATCTATGGAATAAATATTTGTGCAACGGATACAAAGATATTTTACCCGACTGTTTTTTAGATCTACTTCTTCAAAATAATTAAAATATATGATATAAATAAAAATATTGAATTACATAATGTACTACAACAGTAACAAGAAATTTTTGTACACATATACTCTTTTTTCTTATACTCTTTTTTTATCTACGCATAGATAAAAGAAGAGGATCTACGTTTGTATGAGTAGATTTTTTTTTTTTTTTTTTTTTTTTTTTTTATTTTAATAATTTTTACAACTGTCCTGAAACGGACAACAAGTAAAATATTTGACATGAAACTGAAGGCGTTGGCAAAATACAAATCATCTGACCATTGCCAGTGATTTGTCGAATAGTCTCATCTATTGTTGATTAGTGCAGAAGAAATTTTCTTTTTAATCGGGCCCTGGTAGAGTTGATTTGAAGTTTTCTCGCGAGCAAGTTCGGGTGGTCAGCTAGGCGATTTCTATGAGTATGAGTAGATTTACTCGCAAAAATTTGAATAGGTTGAACAGGTTGAAGACTTGTCCATAGATAAAAGAAGAGTATATATGGACTTGCCTTTTGGTAGTTTTTTTCTTGTAGCTATGTTGTCATCAGTGTGTCAGGTGTCAGCTCTCAAACTTAAAGCAAAACTGTCAAAAATCAAAAAACATAATTGTTTGAATGCTCGTGGATAATTTGGAAAATAGTAAATAGTTCACACCCCGTTAAAACCCAAAAAATATGCCATGTACTAAGACACCCAACAGACGTCATAAAAAAAACGACTTACCAACATTCAGAGACAAAAGACACTGTGTAATACACCCGAACTGTCATTCGCAAATGAAACGTCAAAATAACACATATAACCTCCATGAAAGAATTGCTTTCATAGTGAAATGTTCTTTGTTAGCGAATACTATTACGAAAAACGATAAATTTTGTTTGATTAGGACATTAAAGAGTGTTTTAGATTAGTTATTGTAGTTACTCACACTATTTTCTATGTTTTAACTTTATTGTCAGTTTTATTTACATTTCTCATCGAATTAAGACCAGGAATTTACACGCTTAAATATTAAATGAACATCAAAGTTCTTGATGTAAGCTCTGTTCATTAGAAACGTGCGTATAGTTAGCAGCACAAGTACCTAGCAGCAAAATAATTTCAAGGTCATTTGTTTAAAATTTAATTTTACTGTATAAAATGTTAAAATATTGCTATAAAGTCAATTAAATCTTAATGTTTTAGGCTTTTCTAGTTTTTTTGACATAAATATCTTAAACATAATTATCTGACAGCATTATTTTCCATTGTTACCAACATCCCACAGTCGGTGCTGGCAATTCTGCTGTTGATAATGCAAATAAAATTATATATATTACACAAGTGCTCAATTATCAACTCAATAAATAAAATTGATGAGAATAATAAAAAATGTGAAGCAAAAATATAGTGTTTCGTGTTGATTTCAA